GAAGAAGAATAAGAATTAGAAGAATTAAAAAAAGAAGAAGAAGAATTAGAAGAAGAAGAATTAGAATTAGAAGAAGAATTAGAAGAAGAAGAATTAGAATTAGAAGAAGAATTAGAAGAAGAAGAATTAGAAGAAGAATTAGAAGAAGAATTAGAAGAAGAAGAATTAGAAGAAGAATTAGAAGAAGAATTAGAAGAAGAATTAGAAGAAGAATTAGAAGAAGAATTAGAAGAAGAGTTAGAAGAAGAATTAGGAGAAGAATTAGAAGAAGAATTAGAAGAAGAGTAAGAAGAAGAAGAAGAATTAGAAGAAGAAGAAGAATTAGAAGAATAAGAAGAATTAGAATTAGAAGAATTAAAAAAGAAGAAGAAGAATTAGAAGAAGAAGAAGAAGAAGAATTAGAATTAGAAGAAGAATTAGAAGAAGAATTAGAAGAAGAAGAAGAAGAATTAGAAGAAGAAGAAGAATTAGACGAAGAATTAGAAGAAGAATTAGAAGAAGAAGAATTAGAAGAAGTAGAAGAAGAAGAATTAGAAGAAGAAGAATTAGAAGAAGAATTAGAAGAAGAAGAATTAGAAGAAGAAGAATTAGAAGAAGAAGAATTAGAAGAAGAAGAATAAGAAGAAGAAGAATAAGAAGAAGAAGAGTTAGAAGAAGAATTAGAAGAAGAATTAGAAGAAGAAAAATTAGAAGAAGAAGAATTAGAAGAAGAAGAATCAGAAGAAAAAGAATTAGAAGAAGAAGAATTAGAAGAAGAATAAGAACAAGAAGTAGAATTAGAAGAAGAAAATTAGAAGAAGAAGAAGAATGAGAAGAAGTATTAGAAGAAGAAGAAGAATTAGAAGAAGAAGAATAAGAATTAGAAGAATTAAAAAAAGAAGAAGAATTAGAAGAAGAAGAAGAATTAGAATTAGAAGAAGAATTAGAAGAAGAAGAATTAGAAGAAGAATTAGAAGAAGAAGAATTAGAAGAAGAATTAGAAGAAGAATTAGAAGAAGAATTAGAAGAAGAATTAGAAGAAGAATTAGAAGAAGAATTAGAAGAAGAATTAGAAGAAGAGTGAGAAGAAGAATTAGGAGAAGAATTAGAAGAAGAATTAGAAGAAGAAGAATTAGAAGAAGAAGAATTAGAAGAAGAAGAATTAGAAGAAGAAGAATTAGAA